TTTTCAGATTCTTTTTTATTATAGGTTATTACAAAATATTGAGTATAGTTCTCTGTGCTATGCAGTAGGTCTTTGTTGTTTATTTTATATACAATAGTGTGTATATATTAATCCCAAACTCCTAATTTATCAAATTAACAAAGTCTAGTGACTTAAATGTTAATCACATCTACAAAATACCTTTATAGTAACATCCCAACTGGTATTTAACCAAATATCCGGGTATTGACCATGGCCTAGCCAAGTTGACACATGAAGCTAACCCATCATGGGGTGATATTGGGAAATGATGCTGGGAAGATAGGTGGGGGCCAAATTGTAGAGAGTTTTGAATTCTGTTAAGTTTTCTTTGGAAAACACTCCTTCTGGAAGTTTTCCTTTGGAAAATTGGGGGTTGGTGAAGGTTTTTAAGCAAAGCAATGACAGTATCTGATGAGTTTTGAGTATACATGAGGGGTGAAGAGAACTTAAGGGTAACTCCAATTTGGGGCCTGAGCAAAGAGATCAAAATACATATACAGTTTGTGGTGTTTATTAGACACTTAACTGGAGAGATGTTAAGTAGATAGTTGGTTACATGATCCTCTGGCTCAAAGGACAGAGGGGGCCAGAGGAGAACAGGAAGAAGGCCAGTGCAGTTGAAGTGTAGTGGCACAAGATGAAACTGAAAATATGTACTGGGGCAGGTCATGCAGAGCCTGAGCCTTCACGTCATGTGTTCAGCCATCTCCTACCAGCTCAAGAGAGCTGATTATTAAATTGCAGCAAATTTGGGTGCTGGTTGACCTCACAGTTGATAGCCTGCAATCTGCCATGGTGGGAGTATTTACAACATTGAAATGAAGAAATGCTACAACTCAGGGCTTCCTCCACCCACAGAACCAGTTGTTAAATATTTACTACAATATTACCACTACAGCTTACAGACAGCATTGACAAATTTATATTTATTCTCAGTGGCTTTAATAAAGTCATTACAATATTTTAAGCAGGTGAGTAAAAAGATTTTGATTTTTTTAAATCACTCTGTCTGCTCTATAGAGACAGAAGGCAAGAAGTCTCAAACTTTTTCTGTCCCAAAGAGACTACTAAGGATGCTGCTGCAATAGTCCATGTGAACACTGAAGGTGGAGTGAAGGAAAGACATCTGAAAGATTGTTAGGGTCCCAAGATTGACCATAGATGGCCCCTGATTCATCACAAATTGACTATAACTGAACCTGTTATATAATTCATATAACTTGGTTAGTGTTTTTTTATTTTAGTGGTGGTAAGGGACTCCAGGTTCCAAAATTATTACCTTGACTCATGACTGGGGGCTTTTTGCTATTTTACTGGAAACCAGCAGAAGATAAATCAATAATAGTATCTCATAACAGAATAAGACAGTTAATTTCCTACATGAGCACAATCTCCTCTTTTTAATATTACAATCTTCCAGTAGCAGGAGGTGCTTCAAACCTTGCAATTAGGCTGATTCTTTTTAAGGGAAAGGAGGCTTTAATATCTCTTTGACTGCAGTTCTTTCTCAATGGGGTAGGAAGGAAAAGAGGCCATGTCGGAACAGTGCTAAGATGAACACTTTAAAGACATTGGCCAAAGACCCCTGACCATTTTTGGCTCCTGTAACTCTAGGCTGGAGACTCAGCTTGTTCATTTCACATTCCTTTTCTCATACTCTGGTCTGTGCTTGGTTGTTACTATACCTCAAGGGGAAGGCCTAATCCCAAAGTTCACCCTTTGCCTTGTTGGAGAACAGAAATCCCTTTCCTACAGAGCTGAAATTCTAGTTGGGGGTAGGAGCAACCAATAAAGAAAATAAGTAATTATACCAACTATGAAAGAGCAAGGAAAGGAGACAGGCCTGGCCACAATCAGTTCAGCAGGGTAATCGAGACAAATGCCAGAATGAGTGGGTAGAGTGGGGAGGTAGGAAGAAAGGAAGTGGAGTCAGCCAGAGTAGACAGCTATTTCAAGAAGTGCAGATGGAAAGGGAAAGACATGTCCATCCACAGCTAGATGGATAAGCAAATTATGATACATCCGTACAATGGAATACGACTCAGCAGTTAAAAAAAAAAACTATTGATGAACACAACATGGATGACTCTTAAAGGCATCATGCTGAGTGAAAGAAGCCCATCTCAAAATAGTTACAAGCTCTATGTTTCCATTTATACGTCATTCTCAGGGAGCAAAACTATAGGAACAGAACAGAACAGTGGTTGCCCTGGGTTAGGGTGGGGGTGACTGTGATCATAAAGGAGCAGGAAAATTCTGGGGGGGCTAATGGAGCAGTTCTATATCCTGATTACAGGGGTGGTCACACAGATCTACACATGTGTGTGCATGTATGCTCAGTCCTCAGTCGTGTCTGACTCTTGCAACCTCATGGACTGTAGCCTACCAGGCTCCTCTCTCCATGGAATTTACCAGGCAAGAATATTGGAGTGGGTTGCCATTTCCTCTTCCAGGGGATCTGACTCAGGGATTGAACCTGCGTCTCCTGCACTGACACGCAGATTCTATATCACTGAGCCACCAGGGAAGCCCATCTATACATGTGCCTATACTCATGTAACTAACTACACCCAAACAAGGTAATTTTACTGTATGTTACTTGGGGAATGCGAGATTGGGCAGAGTCTAAAAGACAAAGATTGGAGGAAGGAGTCATTTTTTTCATATGGGAGGGACTTGAGTTTATCCATTTGCTAAGGGAGGAAATCAGGTCTCTTGAGAAAGGTGGCCAAAAAGAATTCAAAGGTGTGAGATCCAGGGCACCAGTGGGAAGGAAAGATGATCTGTTTTCCCCACAAACTGCAGCACAACACAAACTCCATCTGGGACGGAGGACACAGTGTGGTGTGCAGGGTGTTGTGTGTGGTGAGGTTGGGGAGAGCCACTGGGAGGAATGGGAAATGATGCTTCCAGAGCTCGCCCTGCAGTATGATGGCCCCGCAGAGGCTAGAGACCTCAAAGCCTCACTGGTGCCGATCTGTACTTTTGTGGATTCGATCTGTACTTTTGTGGATTCGTGTTCAGCAGCTTGGTGCAGAGAAGAGGTTGGTGGGGAGGGGGGATGGAGATCAGCTTAAGGATGAAGGGCAAGGATTTTAAGACGAGGAACAAAAAGAAGGGCTGTGAGGACAAGAAAAGGAGGACCATGAAGCCAACAGGGAACTAATAGCATGGGAGACAAGGGAGAGGGCATGTGACTAGATCAGTTAGTGATCCAACTGATTATGGTTAATAGGCATCAGAGGGGGAGCAGGATGGATGAGGACACTGGTCCAAGCAGTTCTGAAGTGGAGACAGAGGACTCATAGGTCAGGTTAGGGGTTTCACTGATATTTAGAATACTTTCTACAGAATAGTCATAGCAGGACTTCCCCAATGGTTCAGATGGTAAATAATCTGCCTGCAGTGCATGAGACACGTGTTCAATCCCTGGGTTGGGAAGATCCCCTGGAAAAGGAAATGGCAACCCACTCCAGTATTTTTGCCTGGAGAATTCCATGGACAGAGGAGCCCAGCAGGCTACAGTCTATAAGGTTGTAGAGATTTGGACATGACTGAACAACTAACACTTTCACTTTCAGCTCATATTTATTGATCTTTTCCATGTGCCTGACACCAGTACTTTGCATGCACATCTCATTCATTCTCACAGCGGATACTATTCCTATTTTCTAAATAAGGAAACTGAGGCTCAAAAAGATTAGATGAGTTACCCAGGGTCACATGACCAGTAAGTGGAGCGGCCATGGACTAGAACCCAACCTGTTTGACTCCAGGGTTTATGCTTCTCTGACTCATATACTCTATTGCTTCTCCCACATGGAAAAGCTTGATTCCATCATAATAAAATGCTATATTGACCTCAACTAGACATCTCAGAAATGAACCAAAGTAGGTGCATAGCTTAATGTAAATGTGTCATCATTTCTGAAAGCCAGCTATAAGGGGCTGTCCCCCTCACACTGGATGAGTGGTGTCAATTCTGCCTGTAGATGGTATATTGAAAAGTTCTTTCATTTGATCATAAAATTATTTTGTTAAAGGACAAAAATTACTTTCAGAGATGGGGCATTTTGGTGGTCAGCCAGAATGATATTGGGAGTGGTGATGAAATCCATGGGGTAACCAAAGGAGTGGGTGGTCAAAGGGGTGTCAAGGTGAAGATCACTGATGCCTATGTCTAGAAACAAGGTATGAGATGGGATGACTGTAGATGCTAAAGTTCCCTATGATGGTGGTGAGTGTGGAAGAGGGGGGGCTACTAGGTGTCACAGGCCTCAGTGAGTGTAGAAGAGTGGCCAGGAGGCCAGTAACTGAAAACAGCAACGAGTATGGTTTAGTGCCACCAGCCCCAGCTGAGAGCTTTTGACCTGAGAGTGGCCAGGGTCTGGGAACAGGAAGCAGGATCTGGAAGAATGCCCTTCCCTCTGCTGCCCATCCCAAGACATCTGTGAGGTGGGGAAATGAGCAGCCCCCACTTGAGGGCTTCACAGAGGAGGGATCAGTTAAGACAAGGAAACAGAAGGCACTTAAAAAAGATTAAAGTCTCTGTTACAACCTGTTTAATGTAAAACAGTATCCTTGGCAGCTTGCAGCTGTTTGTGAGTATAGCATATGTGTTAAATCCTTATAGCTAATAAAGAAGACAAATGAAAATGAAAAAAAAAAAAGATTAAAGGCCTGAGAGGTGTCTACCATGTCCAGAGGGTATAGATTGAGAGGCAGTGGTAAGTGTGAAGTGGAGTCAGTCCAGAATAGCTGCTTCCTTCCAAGAATAATAGCCCCAAACATGTGAATAGGGTGTCATGGCTTTCCTGCACACTAATACTCATTCTAAGCCTACAGAAAAGATAGAGTCCTGTGGCAGCCATTCTTCATCATCATCTTGGCCAGGACATTGAATCTTGAGACCTTGACTGCTTCACAAAACCATTTCCCGGTGACTAAATCACCTTATCCCATCTTCTCTTTCCTACCAGGCTCAGAGCCCCTACCTTCCCCATGGTGGAGGGGTGGATGTCCATTTCTCAGGAGCAGTGGACTGCTTCAGGCAGATAGTGAAAGCCCAAGGGGTCCTGGGGCTCTGGAATGGATTGGCAGCCAACCTACTGAAGGTGAGAGGAATGGTCAGTCTCCCACTTGTCCGCCTCTGCCACTGCCACCCTTTTCTACACCTTTGCCACTCCCTCTAATTTGCCTGGAAACACTTCCTCTAGCACAGAGCCTGTGAATGCAGGCTGGCTGTCAGCCCTGAAGAGTGGGGACCCTGTGCAGTGTTGGGGCATCTGATACCCCATCCCAGAGGAGCTAAGCATTTAGTGTCAAGGTTCCCAGCAGGGAGGTTCATAGACTCCTAAAAGGACTGCAACCCCCTATCCTAAAATTGTATGGAAAAATGTGTCCATATGGGCGTCTGTGCGTCTCTCTGGGGAAAGGATCCATAACTTTTACCATTTTCCAAAAGAACTCCATGACTTTAAAAAAAAAAAAGGTTAAAAACCGTGGACTAACCTTGCACTAGTTGGCATAGAAATGATTCTAATCAAGACAAGATTATGTTAGGAATTTCCCAGCTGTCCAGTGGTTAGGACTGAGCATTTTCACTGCTGAGTTCAATCCTTGGTCAGGGAACTAAGATCCCACAAACCATGCATGGCATGGCCACAAAAAGGCAAGTGTATGTTGACAGGCAGTGTTAGATTGTCTACATGCATATCAACCCACACCCAGGCTTCCCCGGGGCAGGCCTTTCAATGGCTCTGCCACTCCTCTCCCCAATCCTCACTGGGCCAGCTTGCATTTTTCCATCTTCCCTGATTCCAAAAAGAATGACCATGTTGTATTGTCTACAGCCTTTATCTCAGTTTACCCTGATCCAAGTTGATTGCAGATGCATTGATGTTTTAGGATTTTCACATGATTTTCATTTTTTTTCTCTACAGATAGTTCCATATTTTGGAGTTATGTTTGGCACCTTTGAGTTCTGCAAGAGAATCTGTCTTTACCAAAATGGTTACATCATGTCTCCTCTGAGCTATAAATTGACCCCAGGGGTGGATCAGAGTTTGAAGCCCCAGGAGTTACGGGAATTAAATAAGTTCTTCAAAACTGGACAACTAAAGTCTAAAAAACCAACTCTTTAAAACTGAATGGAACTAGAGGTGCACTGATTGAAGGCGTGTTGCAATCAGAGAGGAATGGAGCCTCAGAATTGTGCACGCATGGGGTGACGAGAGGGTGCTCCTGTCTGCTGCTCTTGGAAATGAGAAGTTTTGGTCACACCTGAGCTCCAGAGTGATGGCCCTGTGAACACCTGCACCACCGTGATTTTATAACAAAAACTAGCAGTAATGAAATGTACAGTTTACACTCTGGATATAAATAGTCACTCAGTCGTGTCCAACTCTTTGCGATCCCATGGACTGCAGCATGCCAGGCTTCCCTGTCCATCACCAACTCCCAGAGCTTGCTCAAACTCATGGCCATCAAGTCGGTGATGCCATCCAGCCATCTCATCCTCTGTCATCCCCTTCTCTCAACTTCAGTCTTTCCCAGCATCAGGTCTTCGCATCAGGTGGCCAAAGTATTGGAGCTTCAGCTTCAACATCAGTCCTTCCAATGAATATCCAGGACTCATTCTCTTTAGGATTGACTGGTTTGATCTCCTTGCAGTCCAAGGGACTCTCAAGAGTCTTCTCCAACACCACAGTTCAAAAGCATCAAATAGTCAGTGTATGCAACACCAAAGAAAGGGCCTGGCCATGACCCCTCAGAGCAACGTGCTGTTGAAGTGACTGGGCAGACAGCATGCTGGAGCTCCGCCACAGGCTCACAGCTTACACTAACCCATGGCAGCCTAGTTTCACCCAGATTAACTTGAGACTTCCCGATCCAGTCATTCTAAAACTCACAATCCTGGCTGTCTTCAGAGTGCACGCACTATGATGTAAATTATGCCTTACCAGAAACTACATGAAAACATTTAACATTTAAAAGTTACCACCTTCATAGTAGATCCAGCCTTCTTTATTTAAATTTGAAGCCTTCTTATGTTTCTAGAAGGTAGTTTATACCATGACTGCTTTGTTATGCCCTAGAAGACCTTCTTTCAGTTAGTCATGTATAGTTCAAATGTCCTGAATTCTTTGCCTTTTTAACTTGCTTTGCAAGCCTACCCAGAAAATAAATTATTTAGTCAACTTATTCTCACAGCATGTCCCAGTTGCCTAGAAAGGATCAAATAGAACATTTGACACACACATAGACCCACAATGTAACTAAAAAAGCACTTTGGGCTAATCATGTCTACTAGATTTTTTCTAAATCAAATTTTGGGTTTATTCCACCTTGGGGATTCTATGTCAAGTTTATGTAATTGTATCTTTTGAATAGCCTATCTATGCATCAAAAAGCAATATCTAATATTAAGTTGTTAATTTATACACACACAGAAAGAGACTTTCAGTATGTTGGAAGTATTTTTCCCTATTAAATGTATTTTCCAAAGAAAAATTATGTGTTGGTCATTTATTACTAATCTGAGTTAGAAAACTATTGCTATATGTATACTGGCCAAAATCTTTAAACTCTCAGAAACTTGTCCTATTGAAATATATCAAAATAACTCATTTTTCCAGCCACTGAGGCAGACTGTGTTTTATGGAAAAGAGAAGTTAATACACACAATAAAATCTCATCTGTAAAAAAAAAAAAAAATCTCATCTGTAGCCCAATCAGTTAGAGTTTCAGTTCAGTTCAGTCACTCAGTTTTGTCCGACTCAGTCAATTGCGACCCCATGGATTGCAGCTTGCCAGGCGTCCCTGTTCATCACCAACTCCCAGAGCTTGCTCAAACTCATGTCTGTCGAGTCAGTGATGCCATCCAACCATCTCATCCTCCGTCATCCCCTTCTGCCTTCAATCTTTCCCAGATCAGGGTCTTTTCCAAGAAATCAGTTCTTCGCATCAGGTGAGTTTAGAGGTGACAGGTGAGTTTAACAGATTCTTAACCCAGAGTGAATAGTTGATGTTAGTTACTCTTTTTTTTTTTCCATTTATTTTTATTAGTTGGAGGCTAATTACTTTACATCATTGCAGTGGTTTTTGTCATACATTGAAATGAATTAGCCATGGATTTACATGTATTCCCTATCCCGGTCCCCCCTCCCACCTCCCTCTCCACCCGATCCCTCTGGGTCTTCCCACTGCACCAGGCCCGAGCACTTGTCTCATGCATCCAACCTGGGCTGGTGATCTGTTTCACCCTAGATAATATACATGTTTCGATGCTGTTCTCTTGAAACATCCCACCCTCGCCTTCTCCCACAGAGTCCACAAGTCTGTTCTATACATCTGAGTCTCTTTTTCTGTTTTGCATATAGGGTTATTGTTACCATCTTTCTAAATTCCATATATATGTGTTAGTATACTGTAATGGTCTTTATCTTTCTGGCTTACTTCGCTCTGTATAATGGGCTCCAGTTTCATCCATCTCATTAGAACTGATTCAAAGTTAGTTACTCTTGATTTTCCTTGAGGTGAACAACTTTTTAAAAACTTCTGAAAGCTGTAAAAAAATTTTTTTAAACTCTAGTACTGTTCCTAAAACAAATTTCCAACTTCTGGTATTTTCCCAGAGGTATGAAGGAAACGTTCTGCTTTTCTGCTTTAGTGTTTGCAGTGGGCACCACCAAACTGGGCTAAGTACTTTAGGAGGATTATAAAGATATGTGATGCAATATTGACCCAGGAGTAACTTCTAGTCTTCAGCAACAAAACATATCTACACATATGAAATGACTATAATTACAAAGCAAATACAAGCAAGGGCATGATAATATAGCAGCAACCATTAACAAGATTACCAAGGGGCTCCATAATTGATTCATTTAGTGAATCAGTGATTTAAAGTGTAATCGAAAAAAATGAGTCTTTTTTTATATGGTGGTGGTGGTTTAATCACTAAGTTGTGTCTGACTCTTTGTGACCCCATGGGCTGTAGCCTGCCAGGCTCCTCTGTCCATGGGATTTCCCAGGCAAGAATACTGGAGTGGGTTGCCATTTCCTTCTCCAGGGGATCTTCCTGACCCAGGGATCTAACCCAAGTCTCCTGCAATAGTTATTATTTATTTGGCTGCTCCAGGTCTTAGTTGTGATATGTGGGATCTTCGGCCTTTGTTGCGGCATGTGGCATCTTTAGTTGCTCCAAGCAAATGCTTAGCTGCAGCATGTGGGATCTAGTTCCCTGTTCAAGGATCAAACCTGAGCCCCCTGCATTGGGAGCTCAGAGTCTTAGCCACTAGACCACCAGGGAAGTCCTGGGAAGGAATGAGTCTTACATTACGTTTTGAAGGAAGTGAAAGGATAACAGTTGGTGAAGAATAGGTTAAGGGGAGAGTATGTTGCAGGCTGAAGGTAGCGTATGTGGTATCACAGAGGTGGAAGGAAGCAAAAGGTATCTGCAACAGAGTGCGAAGACTGGCTTTGTGCATTCGTTCAATGACAGCTTGCACTCTGGGCATCATGGTACACCAGGCAGCTAAGGTCCTTGCCCACATTCTAGTGAGGCGGGCAGTCAAAAAACTAATCAACAAGTGAGGTATAGATTGTAATGTTATGAGGGGGATAAACAGGGTGCTTTATTAGAGAATTACATGGGAGGTAAGGGAAGTATTTTTAATCAAGGAGCCAGAGAAAGCCACTATGAGAGGTGATATTTGAAATGAGACCTGAAAAATAAAAATGAATCAACCACATAAGGAACTAGGGAGAAGAGCATTCTTGGCAGGGAGAATGGAAGGTGCAACAGTGGTACTGGTAGTGGGAAAGGCTGGATGAATGACAAAGAAGTGAGCACAGCCAGTGTGGTGCGTGAGAACAGATGAGATGTGGTTGGACAGAGGGCCAAGTCATATGCGGCCACTCGGGCCATAGTAAAATGTTTAATTCTAAAATAAATGAGTAAAATGAGTTTAATTCTAAGTGCAGCAGGGAGTCATTGAAGTCTTTTATGCAGAGGTGATGCTATATAATCTGATTTTCATTTTTGAAATATCCCTCTGGTTGCTATGTGGATAATAGATGGGAAGGAAGCAAGGCTGTGAGCAGGAAAACCAGTTAAGAGGCTACTAAAAAGTCCAAGTAAGAAATGATGACTTTTGGGGAATTCCCTGCAAGTCCAGTAGTTAAGACTTGGTGCTTTCTAAACTGGGCCCAGGTTCAATCCCTGGTCCAGGAACTAAGATCCTGCAAGCGACACAGCCAAAAACAAAAAATAAAAAAATTTAAGTGATGGCTTGGACTAGAAAGGTGGCAATAAGGATGAGAAGAGTGAATAGATTCAAGACAGATTTTGCAGTTTGGGATCAGCAGGATGTGCTGAGCAACTGAATGTAGGGAATAAAAGAAAGAATTCAAGGATGGCACCTAGGTTTTTCACTTTTGACTTATTAAAAAGGTAGATAATGTTGCCACTTGCTAAGGTTGGGAAGACTGGTGGGGGCCCAAGTTTTGGTGGATAAGGAATTAAAAGTTCTGTTTTGGACATGTTAAATTTGAAATGCCCATGAGACATCCGAGTAGGGAAGTCAAGTAAGCAGTTGGCTGGACCATAGGCTGTTCATGTAATTGTCCAAACCAATTGTGGTAGACAGAATAATGAAACCCCCCATCAAGGGTGTCCACACCCTAATACCTAAGAACCTGTAAATATTTACCTTACACAGCAAAAGGGACTTACATGATTAAGGATAAGGATATTCAGATGGAAAAAATTATCATAGTTTATCAGGGCGTCCCAGGTGGCGCTAGTGGTAAAACAAAAACAAAAACAAAAAACCACATGATCCCCTGGAGAAGGAAATGGCAACCCACTCCAGTATTCTTGCCTGGAAAATCCCATGGACAGAGGAGCCTGGTGGGCTACAGTCCATGGGGTCACAAGAAGTCAAACATGACTGAAGCGACTTAGCACTTAGCATCTGGGTAGGCCCAGATAAAGTGAAAGAGGAAGGTGGAAGAGAGATTCGAGGTTGCAAAATGAGGCAGAAGAAATGGGGCAAAAGAAGGACTTGGCTGACTTTGAATACAAAGATGCCCAAGAGCCAGGAAATGGAGATTTCAGTCCTACAACCACAAGGAATTG